ACCAACAAATTGGGAAAAGATCTCTACCAATCCTTCATCTGATAGAGGGCTAATATCCAATATATACAAAGAACTCAAGAAATTAGACCCCAGACAACCAAATAACCCTATTAAAAAATGGGGTATAGAGCTTAACAAAGAATTTTCAATGGAGGAAACTCGAATGGCAGAGAAGCACCTAAAGAAATGTTCAGTATCCTTAGTAGTCAGGGAAATGCAAAACAAACAACCCTGAGATTCCATCTTACACCAGTCAGAATGGCTAAGATTAAAAACTCAGGTGATAATAGATGCTGGCGAGGGTGTGGAGAAAGAGCAACACTCCTCCATTGTTGGTGGGACTGCAAGATGGTGCAACCACTTTGGAAATCAGTCTGGCAGTTCCTCAGAAAATTGGACATATCATTACCTGAGGATCCAGCTATACCACTCTGAGGCATATACCCAGAAGATGCTCGAACATATAACAAGACATATGCTGAACTATGTTCATAGCAGCCTTATTTATAATAGCCCGGAGCTGGAAAGAACCCAGATGTCCTTCAACTGAGGAATGGATTCAAAAAATGTGATATATTTACACAATGGAGTATTACTCAGCTATTAAAAACAATGAATTCGAGAAGTTCCTAGGTAAATGGATGGAACTAGAAATTATCATCCTGAGTGAAGTAAGCCAATCACAAAAGAACACACATGGTATTCACTCACTGATTATTGGATATTAGCCCAGAACCTTGAAATGCCCAAGATGCAATTCACAGGCCCCATGAAGCTCATAAAGAAGGAAGACCAAGTGGGGGTGATTCAGTCCTTCTTAGAAGGAGCAACAAAATACTCAAGGGAGCAAGTATGGAGACAAAGTGAGGGATAGAAACTGAAGGAGGGGCCGTCTCAAGACCACCCCACCTGAGTATCTATCCCATGTGCAATCACCAAAGGTAGATGCTGATGTGGAAGTCAGGAAGTGCATGCTGATAAGAGCCTGATATGGATGTCTCCTCAGAGGCCTTCAACAGTCTGACATATTCAGAGGCAGATGCTCACAACTAGCCATTGAACTGATAATGGGGTTCTCAATGGAGGAGATAGAGTGAAGACTGAAGGAGCTGAAAGGGTTTGTGGCCCCATGAGGATAGCAACAATACCAACCAAACACAGCTCCCAGGGTCTAAACCACCAGCCTGGGAGCACTTAGGGAGGGATCCAGGGCTTTAGCTGAATATGTAAAAGTGGAGGGCCCTGCTGGGCATAGGTGGAAGAAGAGAACCTTGATGGCATGAAGGCTGGATGCCCCAGGGGGTGCGAATTTTGATGGTGGGGTGGTGGGAGTGTGGGGGGATAGAAAGAGGTTACATCCACAGAGAAGAAGGAGGAGGGGTCAGGGGATAGGGGGTTCCTGGGTTGGTGGGGGATGGGGTAAGGGGACAACATATGAAATGTAAATAAAACATCCAATATTTTTTTTTTAAAAAGCAAATGTAAATGAAAAGAAACACCCTTTCAAAAAGGCATCAGGTGGTCTCCTGACCTACTCCAAGCACAGGTGTGCCTCTTCCTCTGTATGCTGAGATTTAAATAAAATTTGCTATTTTATTTTTAAAAAAAGCCTATAAACCACAATGACATAGCCAATAAGATATTTACCAATGATACAATAGTGGCATAGCAGCATTTTTATCTTGTAGGCAACTAAATAGTTGTCAAAGAGACTTAAAGAATTGACATGTTACTATAAACTTAGCCAGCTATATGAAGCTAGACAGCTCACACACTCTAGAGGAGAACCTTTACTATTTCCCTAAATTAATGTAATTTGTAACTCTATTCTAAATATTTATTCTTATACACACATAAGTATAGCTCTCAACTTTCATCAAAGTAGATTCCTTTTGTAACTGATTGATATGATGGAGATCTGTACTGTTCAAAATGTAGAGAATAATTTATACTTCTTTTCACATTTTGCAAATGTAACAGCTAAAACATATTAAACAGAATACTCAGTTAAATAAAAGTGTTATTGCAAGAGAAATATGTCTAATCATCTTTTTTATAAAGCTAAAGAGAAATAAAAATATTTACAAATACTTTTACTAAGACCATTGTGGGAAACAATTCATGATTTTTTTTCATATATATCCAAGTTCATGACAAAAAACATAATATAGAATCATTTATATTAATTTGGTTCTTAAGGTGCTTGATTATTTTATTTTAATGTATGGTAATTATCATGTTTCGAGAAAGTTTCTCATGTAGCTCAGGATGGCAGGGAACTCACTATGCAGTTGAGAGTAACCTTGAATTCCTTATCCTCCTTCTTCACCCTCCTAATTGCCTGGATTTCAGATAAGAGCCATCATGGGGGGCAACACACTTAACTCCATATTTTACTACTTTATTCAAGTGATGAGTATGTGCAAAGTCTATGGATTGTACATATTAATGATTAACTCCTAGTCACCGATAATCAATCAGTGTCCTATTAAGGAAAGACAAAAAAGCATTTTCCCTTGGAGTTGTTTAGCCAAGAGAGTCTAGACTTCAATTCTCCAATTTCTGTTCTGTTCAAAGTTACCAATTTAAATCAAATTTCATTCCAAATACTGTTGCAGAAACAGCCAGAGTGATGTTTGACCAAATGTCTGTTCATTTGTTTTGATTTATTTATTTATTTTTAACTTGCATTGTCTTAATCTTCTAGTAACTCTATGGAGATGGGTATTAGAACCTTTAATAGAAATGCTGACTCTGTGGCCTGTGGGATGCTCGGCAGGTAAAAGATATCTGCTGCCATGCCTAAGGACCTGAGTCCAGTCTCCAAAAGCTACATGTACATGAATACAAAGTAATTAAATAAATAAAACTGAATAAAGATTAAAAAAATACTAAGTCTAGGAGAAGCCATATTTGCCAGCAAACACCTGTAATCTCAGCAGTACAAAGGCAGAGACAGGAAGATGGCTTCAAGGCCAAACATGATCTGATATACATAGTAAATTCCATGCTATTCAAAACTAGATAGCAAGGCCCCAGTCTTAAAAAAAAAATAGATGCACTTGGGTTCCACAGTTAAGTTAACGTACTGTCTTGCAGAGGACCTGTTCAGTTCCCAGTGTGTTAGGTTTCTCTCCACCACATGTAACACAAGTTCCAGAAGATTCGGATGAACATATGTACTTACACTCATAGACACAAACACACATATTTGCATACTTTAAAACCTTAAAAACAAAACATTGAGTGAGTCTTTAGATAGCAAATCCAAAGGTTTCTCACTGCTTACTTCCTGGTCCTTGGAGCACAGTGGGAAAGGGATTTGTTGGGAAGGGGATTAATCCACTAATGGGCTGTTCTTGAAAGTAACAGATTGGATTTTGCATTTGCATTATAATATAGAGGCCCACTTCCCCCTTAGTGTTCCATCCTTTGTTTTTTTCTCAGATCTCCCTTTGTCTGTGTAATCTTAATCTTATCTTTTTTTTTTTTTTTTGAGACAGTTCCTCTGTGTAGTCCTAGCTGTCCTGAAATTTACTCTGTAGACCAGTCTGATCTTGAACTCATAGAGATCCACAGACCTGCATTCCAACTGCTGGGATTAAAGGTGCATGCCATCCTTACCTGGCAATCTTATCTTTCCTTCTGGAGATTTTTAGACTAGAACATACTTTGGCATGTTATAGTGATGGAACAGTGTAATAGAACCAGTTTACTGAAATGCAGCCATAGTCCAGGAACAGAGAGATGGCTCAGTGGGCAGGGGCATTTGCTACTCAGACTGAAGAACTGATCTGGCATGGTGAAGGGAGAGAACAGATTCCCATAGTGTCCTCTGACCTCTACATGCATTCCATAGCAAGCATGCTCCAACTGCTATTGATTCATATGAAAAAAATGTAGAGAGTGAGGACTAAGGACGTACCTTAGCTGCAAGCATGACTGCCTGGCATCCCGAAACCCCGAGTTTGCTCTCTAGCATCACATAAGGACATTAACAACAGGAGGATGAGTTCAAAGTCCCTTGCCTACACAGCAAGTTAAAAAAAAAAAAAACAACTTGGTGCCAGCCTAGTAATTTCAGAGTAGGGAGGTGACAGCAGGAGGATCAAGAGTTCATGGCCATATATATATATATATATATATATATATATATATATATATATATATATATTGTTTTTCAAGGACTGAATTTTTCATGAAAATAAATATGAAAGTACATTTTGGGTTGAATGTCCCACTTAAAAGGTAAAATGTGATTATATTGTTTTTGGAGAAAGATATTCTTTATTTCCTCTTGGTCTCCTGATAGTCTTGAAATTCTCAATTTCTAAATATTCTGAGGATGAAATCTCATTGTAACATTAGCTAACATCTGCTATATATTCATTTTGAAATATACAAGTACAGATGTAACATAAATGTATAGTTGAACAATTTTCCTCCTAATAAATTTATTTTCAATTTTTGCCAGTAGTTTCTTAACTTTACTTTTCTCACAATCTTTGGAACATTAATTTTTCATCTGTCATAAGAACAAACCCTACATAGTACTCATATAATTAATAGTGTCTTCAAACATCTCAAATGAGAGTTTGTATATAATTTTTTCCCATATCCTTCAACCTTGAGCAAATTTAACTCCTATTTTACTTTACCCAATGGCCATGTAGCATCTGAAGGGAAAATACACCTGTGTGGTCTCTGTGAGTCCTGTACAGGCATTATCATTATTTGAGCTAAGACTTATGTTTTCATTCAGCTCCATTTCCTTCAATGATTTTTTAAATTGCTTTATTTTTTAAAGATTCATAATAAATTTATGTTTGTTTGCCTGTATGCATGTATGTGCACTGAATGCATGTCTGGTTCCAAAGGCCAAAAGAGAGCATAGAAATCCCTTGAAACTAGAATTAAAAAAGAGTTGTGAATAGGCATGTGGATTTTGGGAAAAGAACTGAGGTCGTTGAAAACAGAGGCAAGTGTTCTTAACAACTGAGTCACATTTCTAGCCCTATTTATTTATTTTTTAGATGAGTTCTTAAGTAGCCAAAGTTAGAATCCCAGAACTTGCTCTCAGGCCAAGGATAACCTTTAATTCCAAGCTCTCCTGCCTCCAATGTCTAAATGTTCTTCCATGAGTTCTTCAGTAAACTTTGTTGCTGCTGTCGCTCTTCTGGTTGCTGCTCACAGGCTCTTGTTATCTCAGTCTGGTCTGTTAAACAAAATAGCAAATATTTAGATTGACCAGAGTGGATCAACTCTGGACAAGAATAATCTCATCATGGAACAGATGGCATCAACTGCTGAGGAAGAGTGAAAGGATAAACTGGCAGAGGCCTTGATCAGGTAGGTTGGCAGCATCTAAGTGGGCAGTTGGCTTTAGCTTTGGATCATAGCAAAAAAAGGACAAAGAGTATAAGAAAGTCATGGAAGAGCCTGCTAAGCATTTCTCACAGTTCCACCACCTTCATTCTCAGGAGATTCTTTTTATAACATCCTTTGGCTTATAAGGTGTGATAAACAAACATACATTCCAATGAATGCCATGGATTAACAGGTTTCCCTGCTCTTCTTACCTTCTGTAATCTACCCAAGGAATTGACACATCCTGCAAAGACTGCTTATGTTTCAGGAAGCTTAATGTTACCAGTACAGTCAGCTCCTCTTATACCTATCCAGTGTAATTCACTGTAGGGTTTAAGACAAGGACCTGGAGAATAAAACACCTGCAAGCAAGTCATATTTAACATAATATGCTTCTGTGTCTTTATTTTTTACATTACGAAAAACATAGAGGAAAGATGCTAAACTTTCGTAGGAGTGTTTTCTTTTAAGAATTTCACTTTCTTTCCTTTCTTTCTTTCTTTCTTTCTTTCTTTCTTTCTTTCTTTCTTTCTTTCTTTCTTTCTTCCTTTCTTTCTCTTTCTTTCTTTCTAACTAATCATTCCATTCATTTACATCTCAAATGATACCTTATTTCCTGGTTACCCCCTCTACCAAACCCCCATCCCAGATCCACCCCCGCTTTTATGCCTGTATAACAGTGTTCCCTCACCGACCCACACTCTCTCATCCCACCTTTCCAGCATCCACCTACACTGGGGCATGAAACCTCCCTGGGAACAAGGGGCTTCCCTTCCCATTGAAGAATTATGTATCAATTCAGGTAAAAGTTGTAAAAGTTCTGTTATATGTGTTGCCTAGTAGCTACCGAATATATCCACTTTGGCAACCTATGCAGCTATGAAACAAGGCATAGCACCTTTACTAGCCTTCAGTTTGGCTCTGTCATACAAATAATCTGTCCTATAAATTATTTTTACAAAAAATAATTTTATATTCTTTGAAAATTCCATATATTTATATAGATTTTAGCCATAGACATTATCCTCCACTACCCGCCAACTTCTGCCCTCTCTCCACCTTATCTGCCTTCCATCTTCATTTTTTTAATCTTTTCATTATTAATAACAGAATGTTCAATTGGTGTTGTCCATATGCACATGCTAACTGGTCTTTCTGACAAACTGCTTTATAAATATTTATGTTGCATCTCATAAATTTGTGTTACTTTCACCTCAAGTCAGAAATGCTCCTTTCTGCTTTGGATAACAGTTAATGTAGTGAGACTCATAACTGGTCTAAGTGCTGACTATAAATAATTCTGAGTGCTCATCTGTAGATAGGTCACCTATTTTCTAAAGACTCTTGATGAGTGCAAAATCTAAATTAAAAAGGACTGCCACCAACCAGGCAGCATACACCAGGTGATATGAAGGTCCCAACATATATACAGCAGAGGACTGTTGGGTCTGGGTTCAGTCAAAGAAGATGCACCTAACCCTCAAGAAACTTGAGGCCCCAGGTAGTAGGGAGGTCTGGTGGGGTGGAATGGGTGGTGGAGGGTGGCAACATCCTTTTGGAGACCAGGTGGGTGTAGAGTTATGGGATGAGGAACAGTCAGAGTGTGGACTGGGAGGGGGATAAAGTATGGACTGTAAAAAAAGTTGAAAGAATAAAAAAAGAACTGCCTAATGGTACTGATAAAGTAAAAATTTCCTTGATATTTATATCATAACCTAAAGATCAAGTATATTTGATTAGTTATATATACATGTCAGTTGTTATTCATATTTTTATTTTTTTATGTATATGGGAGACAAAATTCTTATTAAGCAAGGATAAAAGGAAGTTACTGAACTATATATAAATGGTGGGATCTAGGATGACTACTACCAAATTTTATGCTCTGTAGCCTAGAAATCTATAGTTCTGTCTTCTTTCTGTCACATTATTTCCTATTATCATGATGGAAAACATCTATATGGAGAAATGGCAAATATGAAATAATGTACTTTTTTTATTCCAGGGCTTATTATATTTATATATTCTATTCCTGGTTCAGTGTACTTTAGTAAAACAGAATTTAGGGGGCTAGTACCCTTGCTAGCCTCAACCCCAAATTTTAGGATATGATTACCTTGAGATCATCTGTGAATTATGAATGAAAAATGATGTCGCCTATAAGAAAAAAAAAAAACAACAAGTCATGATACTGTGACATCCTCCAGAGTCATAGTACAGGACAGGCCCTGAGCATGTGAAAGCAATATCTTTCTGGGTAAGATAATCTCCCTTCTCTCTCCCCAACTGTTCCCTCCCTTAGTTCAATCCCTTCCCCTTTCCAACATCTGGATTTCCTTCCCATCTTTTTCCCATTTTCTTCTTTCTCACCCTTCTTCTTTCCCTTATCTACTTCCACTTTCCTCTTCTTCCTCCCATGTTCTCTTCCTTCTCCCATCCATCCCATTCCTCTTCAATATTTCCACTGGTATCTTCCAGTTGAAGAATTACAATCTAGGATAAATATTAGAATGTTAATAGTTATGCTTATTAATTTTTCACTTTCTTCAGTATTCTTTATATTTGATAAGCCATTTTTATAATTAAAAGAAAATGGTAAGTTTCATAGCATGGCAGTTTATTTGATATTTACTCAGGGTACAATAAAAGAACATAAAAATGTATCAAATGATGAAATAATTTTTAAAAGGCAAAGTAGAACACATTATGAAGAAAATATGGTTTCTTTAGTTTTCAATTACACAATATACAATGAGTCAAATTTTTAAAATACTATATCATATTTAACACCTTAGTGGTAAACAATACTTTTCCTAATAGACCAATAAATCACATAAACAAATCCACAAAAATCTAATGTGATCCTGAATGACATTTTTAAATATACTCTCATCTTTTTTTCAAGCAACTACATTTTGCAATAGAATGTTTTGGTTGGTATTATTACTACATTTCTATGGCAGAGTAATGAAGGCACAACTAGTGCAAGCAGATTTAAGTCTTTAGTCTTCTGGGCTGAAAAAGGAAGGAGAAAACACATGTATATTGGCATTTATAGTGTTACTTATTCAGGCAAGGATTTCTCTAACAAGTCTGACAATTTTCACAGGTACAATCTAATAGTAACATGACAAAAACTGACTTCACAAAACCAACACTGTAGCACCAAACAAAACATGCTTTGGAAATTAATAGCAGTTTACATATTTTGAAGAATATTACAGTACAACAGGCAAGATAGAATAAACAGAAGCTTAAGACACCTTTTAGGACATTACCAGGAATACTGAAAACACCAGACTATAAGGAGTAATAGTGTTCAGGTTGTAGGGCAAGTTTTCTATTTTATAAGGTTAGGTGACTCTACTTCACTTCTGCTTGCTTGACTTTTAAGGATTCTTGCAAAATCTTTCAGCTTGCCCGTTTTACTTGTAGTACTTCCTGTTTCCATAATCCCTGAAGTCATGGTAGTAGGGATCATTCATTTCTCCTGTGAAGTAATAGATTGACTTCAAGATGACATTATCATGCAAAATTTGACCAATCTCAAAGTCCTCATCAAGAATAGCATCTTCTCTTGGTTCCAGCTTTCCGATCAAAGGAATCTCAGGAGGACTGAAGAAATTGAAGAAAGACGCATTTGGAACCACTCTTGGCTGGACTTCAATCTCCCCTGTAATAGATGGGCGACTCCGGGTGGTTGTCACTGTAACATCTTTTCCTCGTCTCCAATCTATTTTGCAGCCTTTACACTCTTCAATTTCCCATCCCCAAGCGAAGAAAGGATCATAGTGATCTGGTTTTGACCTTATTATGTATGTCTTCATCAGGAGCTCATTTCTGAAGTATGGGTTAGGCAGGAAATGAAATTCAAAAGTGTAACCTATAGGCTGGCCAGGGTTGGAGAACTTCAGGCTAACATCAGATAAGAACTTCAAAATGGGTTCATCACACTTTTGAATCATAGGCCCAAGCTTATCAACATTCTTTAAAACAGTCAGCCAGTAGTCAGGAATACCTTTAGGATCTTCTTTCTTGGGTTTTCTCTTTCGAGCCCTTTTAATATTGACTCCTTCTTCAGGCTTTGTCTCAGGAACTCTTTTTTGAGCCTCTCTTACTGGAACCTTTGGTGTAGATTCTTCTGTAGGCTGATCTTTATTTTCTGCATCTGCCTGGGTAGCTTCTTTAAGGTCTTCTTTTTCTTCAGGAGCTGTGTCTATACAATCCGTAGAGTCTGTTTTTTCTTCATCTTTTACCTCAAGAATTTCTTTAGGGGATTCCTGTTCTTCAGCTTTTTCTTCAGCACCTTCTTTTGGAATTTCGTTTTCTTCAGTTTTCACCTCAGGAGTTTCTTTGGGAGCCTCCTCTTCTTCAACTTTTGCCTCAGGAACTTCTTCAGGAATATCTTTTACTTCTTCCTTCACTTCAGCATTTTCTTTACAGCTTTCTTCTTCCTCCTCACCCTCTAAGGGTGGCATTTCATTGGGTGTGTCATCCTGCATTTCCTCATCACCACTGAACTCTTCTTCTGAATTCCATTCACACTCTTCTTCTGTGGGCTCATATTCTGCATTTATGATCTGAAAACGCTTATCATATAGAGGCTTATTGAGTTCAGCATACTTTCTTTCAAGATCATGAATTGCCCTTAAGAACAAGGTGTCTACCTTGTCACACTCACTCTGAATCTTTCTGAGTGCCTGCACCCGATTTCTTACTGCTTGCGGCAGCTTATCCATGAAATATTTCCCGGAGGGACGTCGCTGGGCCCTTCTGGAAGGCTCGGGTACCCTCTTCTTTTGGTGAATGCGGCTGCCATTGCTGCTGCTGCCACTGCTACCGCTACTGCTGCTGCTACTGCTGCTGCTGCTGCTGCTGCTGCTGCTGCTGCTGCTGCTGCTGTCGCTGCTGCCGCTGCTGCTGCAACTAGTGGTACTGCTAGAGCTATTGCTGTCAGATTCATCTCCAGAATCACCAGCTGAGCTAGCCATCACCTCTTCAGCAACCCCATGGACAGCAGGTTCCGTGACCATTTTAGGATCTGCTTCTGCCATACTGCTAGCCCCGTACACCTCTTTAAGGTGGTGACAACAGCAGAGATCGTGCACCCAGAGATGGACAGAAAAGGACTCACGGATGCTCCGGTGGCGGCGGCGGCTGGGGCGGCGGCTAGGGCGGCGGGGGCGAAGGCCGGAGTTGGTCAGGCGGCGGAGACTGCAGCGGCTGCGGCCGGGAACCAGTGGCGGCACAGACTGCAGCGGCTGTGGCAGTGGCGCGGTAGGGGCGGGACCACAGAGAAGGCGCGCAGGAACCCGCAGCAGGGGAAGCAGCCGGGAGCCTCAGCTATGAGGCCTGTCAGGCCGCAAAGGACCTGTGCCGAGACCTGCCGCAGTCCAATGACGCAGTATCGGACCCAGAACCGTCTCCTGGGTTAGGATGGGCAGCCCCTCCCTTGTTGACAGCCCTCCCATTAAATTCGTTCCCAGGATGCTTTCAGTTCACTCCTCATTTGCTGAGACGACTTGATTGACTAGTATTGGGGCCAAAGAATGGCCGAAGGAAAACGCCCTTCCTCCCGGATCCTCCCATCTTCCCAGAGACACCGGGGTGACTAAGGCACAGAGCCTCTGAAGACCGCTACCCCACTCTTTCAAAATTCTCTCCTTAGAGGAAAAAAAAAACACACACACACAGACAAGAGCTAAAAACTCCAGCTATAGTTACTAACAACGGAAGAAAAGGAGCCCCTATGCTCAACTGCCCATCCTGAATTCCTATTTGGTTGATCACGACCACCACACAGAAAATTGTTAATGAAAAAAAATAAAAAAATAAAAAAAGTGAAAATGCTTTAAGTGACGTCATAGGACACTGGGGCTATGGATGATTGAGGAAAAATAAAGAACACATACGCAAACAAACAGACAAGATTTCCTCTAAATATTCCAAGAGCATGTGTTTTACACTAGAAAGGGGGGAGTCCTTTATTTGTGTAGGTGGGGAGGGGCTAGACAGCACGCACATTGCATTCCACGTAGCCGATTTAATAAGCGCTGTCTGTGATGTTTGGCAAGCCTGGTTTATATCCATCTACAAGGTTTGCGAAGCCACGTTGTTGTGAGTCCGTTACATCATTTTTTAAAATTGTATTTCTGGTTTAAAGCTAGCATATTATATACTGTAATCTTACTGCTAAATTGCCACTTAGTCCTTTTTAATGCGTGTGGCAACATTTTAGATAAAACAAAGGGCCATTTAAATGTAAGGTAATATTTTTTATAAAAGCAGAGAATTCTGTTTCAGACTTCTGCGCAGCAGGTTTCATTTCCAGAAACAGCACAATGGGAGGGGGGATTTGTTTTAATCCAAGTGCATCCTTGGTTATGTATTTAAAATGTCACCTGCCACCAATTTTGTTCTAATTTGGAATTGTAACTATATTAAAAGATGATTTGTAAGTGAACTAATATGTGAACAAACTTTTTCAAAATGGAGTTTAAAAACAGATATCTGTTATTTTTATTTACAGGATTCAATTTTGCTACAACTCAAAAGACCAGTGTTTACTTTTCATGGAAAGGTAAGGGACATATTAGCCACCATTTGTTATGAATGAACAGAACTGCCCCTTTGTCCATTAATAAAAATTCAGAGGCTATAACTTGTTAAAGATTTGATTGGAAGATATCTTGATATTTCCAGACAAGCAGAAATATCAAGAGGTGACTTGGCATACAAATGAAAAATAACCTACTTAACCACATTTGCTCTCTAAACTTGGTTATAGACTATAAGTGCTATGTTTAGAATAGAAAATATGCTGCATTATTAATTTCAAATGAAGAAATATATTAAAATGAGACTCTTTATTGTACTACTTTTATTATAGAGTTTGTATTTTTCATTTAGTCATGTATTCTTAAGAAATGTATTGTTAATTTAATAAAGAATTTGTATTTACTTATCTGTAAGTCAAATTACATGTACATTTTAAAAATTACGATTCAGTATAGAAGATTCTGATGATAGTCATATTTAATTTTACGAAAAGTTAGCTATTTTTAACATTTTGATCTACTTTCTTCAAGAAGTCCATTTATGCATATATACACCTGACAATTTATGTATATTGTTTTACCTGTGTGATATCATATGATTGTTTGGGATTTGCTAATTTATAGCTACGTTTTAACAGGAATGATCAATGAATTGCTTTAAATAGATATATACTCCCTTATAACTACCTTGCTATATTTAATCAGAGACTTGTTGTGGGGAATATATATATTTATATCATGTCTTTGCTTACATATATACATTTTACTGTTATAAAAATTGTTCATGTATAACTGTTGCATGCATTAGAATGTACTTCAGAACATTAACATAAAATAAATATCTAGAAATTTGATTGTGAAAAACTTTATGGTTATTTTGTAATTTTGAACAGAATACAAATGTCCATGGAGGTTCTTAAAATTTGAAATGCATAAGAGCTCAACCATTCCAATCTTCAGCCAAAGATGCCTATTTTTTCTTGTGACAGTACTATTAGTAATAGAAGGGGCTTACATTTAACTTCTTGCTTTGTAATATTAATCTAAACAAACTCTATGTGAACAGTAATTCAAATAGCTGGGTAAAAAATAAGTATTATCATGCCATTTATTTGTACTGAGAGTAATAGACATAGTTTAAATGATGATTCTGATATTTTGTAGTACTATAGTAGTATAATTAACATGCTACCGTCTGTACCATCAGAGATTACTCTTTTTTGAGTTAATTATGAGTTAAGATGTAGATTTGTTTGTGTGTTTATTTTCCTGAAGTAGTAATAGAATCCAGGAATCACACGTGTTGGGGGCCAAGATCACTGAAGTATACTAATAACTGTAAATACTTTAAATTTCTTAATACCCCTAAGTCTTTTTTTGAACCACTTATTTAGTAATCTTTTCATCTGTACCCATTGAATCCCTTAATTTACCAAGTTAACTGAATTGATTGGATTTATTTTTACATTCAGATTTTTGATTTATTGAACACCTATTTTTAGCAAATAATGGAATGGGGAGAATTTTGTTTTTGTTTTGAGAGACAATATCACTATACATCCCAGGCTGGCCAAGGGGCTTTTAAGGTCACCTTATTTTTATTTTTTATTTTTTGAAATTAAATGTACTGAATGAAACAAGTTGACATAGTACATATAAATAAGTCAAACACAACTTAAGATATTTCAAGAGATTGTTACTATTCTCATTTTGACTGATATTTCTTAAATATTTTCTCAATACTATAAATATCCATTTCTTAGATTAGTAGTAAGGTTGAGTGTTTATTTTTACTTTTGTTGTCCATTGAGTAATCATTTATTATATTCTTCTCTCCAATTGAATAAAAAAATGAATTGGTGAAATCAAAAAAGGAAAGTGACTTAGGTCTTGAGTTAAGGAAACCATGAATATTTTTGAAAATATTTCTGCTCTAACATAACATATAGGATTATATTATTGGTTTAAGTTTAACATTATCTCTGTAGAAGATGTTCATAATTATAAATTCCTATTTATCTACTTATAGAGGAAATACATTGAGAAGAAAAAGGGAAAGAAACCTATAAAAACCTCATACAAAATAATATTTATGAACCTTTTTAAAGATTTATTTATTTTGTATAAGTGAATCCACTATCACTGTCTTCAGACACACCAAAAGAGGACATCAGATCCCTCTTCTGCTTGTAAGCCACCACGTGTTTGCTGTGAATTAAATTCAGGAACTCTGAAAGAGCATTCAATGTTCTTAACACCTAAGTCATCTCTCCAGCCTCAAACTTCTATGTTTTAATGAAGTTTCTTTCTAAACTATGAGTTTTTAAATTAGGTGAGAGTTTTCAATCATAGTGCTCACTCATGTGCCTGTGTATGTTTGTATTTGTGTGTATGTGTGTGTGTGTGTACATGTACATGTGTTCACATGTGCATTTTCTTTCTTACATATCAAGTACAACTAGTATCATATAACATTATTTATACTATATAATTTTTTTATTTTTAATTTTAAAGTCACAGTCATTTCTTCATGTAGACAATTTATATCACTCCATATATTTTCTACTGTTAGTATATACATTCAATGGTTACATTGCATTATACTTTTCATCAGAAGGTTATGTATTAACTTCTTGCACAATATATGCTTTGTCTCTTCTTCTATTGCTTTGTGATTTTTTTTAAACAGAGACAAAATTCTAATTCTTTACATGAGAATATGTTTATCACAGACTCAGGATGTACATAGCTCTTTCAGAACTGTTTACAACTTTCCTGATGTGACAATATACATAAACTCTTGAATTTTTAACACACACACACATACACACACACAAATTACACAATACAATGTGTGGCTGCATTATCTTAAGTTTCAAATAGCTATAAAGCTTTGCATAATCCGTTCGTTTCTAATGTGCTTTTTAATTACAACTGTATAAATTGTTCACATGTATGCAAATATGTTTCTGTAAGTGTAGTGTGGCTATATTACCTGGAAATGCATATAGAGGCCAGATGACAAATTTGTGGAGTTTGTTCTCTCTTTCCAAGTGTCTCTCTCTCTGTCTCTCTCTGTCTCTCTCCTTTCATTCCTTTTGTTATTATTTTTTGTTTGTTTGTTTTTGGTTTGTTCTGAGGATACTAAGGATGATCCTGACAGTTTTACCCCTTTTAAAATAAGTATTAAAATATGACATACACAGCAAATAAATGTATCAAATTTGGAATAATTACTGCCACACAAATAATGTAATTTTTTCATCATACTAAAAGTTTTCTTATACGTGTATATTATTCTTTCCTCTGTCTGTTTTATGTTTCCACAGATTAGTTCTCAATTTCTACAATTGTAAATGAACAATATCATGGAAAATTCATCCTGTTGCCAGTATTCATTCTTTAGCACAAATATTTAGAAAATTTCCACTTTGTATATGTTAAGAGTATTTTTTTTCCTATTTGTTGCTCAGCACTGATATGTTTTTCTATAAGTACAATAATTTAGCCATATTCATTTGTGTGGTTATTACGTTTGTGGCTACTGTGAATAAAGTTGCTATGATCCGTTTCTGTACAAGTATTTTTATGAACATATGTTTTTGTTTATTTTAGCAAACATTCCTAGGAGTTGGATGGCTGAGTCACATGGTAGATGCATGTCTACTCTTATAAGAAATTATATACTTCTCAAGTAAGTGGCTATTTTCAACACTAAGAACATTAAAAGTACTTGGTATGGTCAGTGGTTTTACATGTAACTATTCTAATAGCTTTTTGATAGCAGAGTCTTGTGGTTTTTATTTTCATTTTCCTAGTAACTACTCATGTGGTTATCATTTCATATACTGATTTACC